ACGTATCACACGGATTCCTGTTAAATTTCGAATGACACCAAAATCTGGGGATCGAATTCGGTTTTAGCGCCTAGCGATCAATAAACACGAAGTCGTCGGTAAAATGTGAAGTTCAAATTGTAAATATGTAACGAAATCAGCGTCTGATACTGACTAATGGTGACAGCGCTTGCACAGATACCACGACATGAACCTAACCTAACCTCTGGTTCACCGCGCACTGCACACAGAGTACAACAGTCCCCGTCCTCGTAAATTTCTATGCGCCTTTACCTTCCTTGATAACAAGTCCTTGCACTTCACAAGGAGATTGTGGCAGATTAAAAACCCATTTCGCGGACTTTGGCAACTAAGTAGGAGCACAAACACGCGAGAGACTCACGATGTACGTGTCTGACAGCGCAGAAATCGAAAACCCTTCGCACGAAAACAGAGTAGCATTGTCATAATGTCGCAAAACACGTTTTAAAAACGCCCTGAAGGGAGAGGCGGTGCGTTCCTAACAGAACCAGGTACAGTGGACGCAAAATAACTCCCGAGCATGGGCTAAAGGCGGAATGGGAGACGCAAAGGGGGGGCAGGACGGCAGAAAGTCTACCTGAGCGCCTTTCCTTTTGAACGAAGACACTTTCACGACGACCGCTAGTGTCTTAATGACAGCTTGCTGCTTTCGTGAACACCTGAGGAATAAATCTCGTTAGGGTGTTATGCCACCTAACTACGAGAGCTTAATCCTTGTACAAGAGTGTCAACTCGTTACAAAGTGGATAACCACACAAACTTCGATCGAAACAGCATTTCCAATCCTAGACACAATTCCCTTTTCCAAAATCCCGACAAAAATTCAAATATGCACGAACTGTCGTATGCACAGGCGTGTTACAACATGAAATTAAAAAACTTTTAAGGTCTAAAAATAAATCTGAGGGGTTATTATTACGCACAAACTCAGGGTAATAAAAACTCCATTATTCGAATAAAAATCTGACCTGAATACAATCATAGAGCGACGTTAGTTAATTTAACTTTGTATCACCATGACAAAAGGAAAGATATTTAAAACGCATACAAATATCCGACAGAAGATGGCGTGTTTCATTAGCACACCCTGGAACGTCGTCACGTGCATTGTTTTGCATGAGACAGGCAGCGTATCGCATTCCATAGGCAACTTCATCTACTCTCAAGGACGGACACATAAAATGATAAAAAAAATACGAAATGGATACGGAAATAACAACTCCGGTCGCGTCGAGGTCGTGTAACCACAGCGAGCGGCAGGCCCATGAGAGGATTTACGTGTTCGGTGAACAAAGTATTCATTCTAATTCTAATAACAGTGACCAACTACAGTCAAGAAAGTCCAACCAAAAAAGAAATGTCTCCCAATTCTGGGCCAGATTAATCCAATCCACATCACATTTGTCAGATATACTTTAATTTAAAACTTCCATCTACACCCAGGTCTTCCAAACTGTCTCTTTCAGTTTTTGTCAACTCTCCCACGCACGTTACACTAACACACGGTTTCCGATGAATACGACCTGAGCTGAGCATAACACAATTTCAGTTTTATAACTTGAAAAGAAGACGCAACTTGGTAGACCAAAGCGTAGATGGTAAGATATTAATCACTGCACCCCCAACGCCAGATTCCACCTGGTATAAAAATGAAGTTAAAAGATTTTCTTACAAACTACACACAACACGTTAATGTACGTTAGTGTTCGAACGGTAAGACGAATACACAAGGGAAGTGCTGTGTGGGCTGAAACACGAGGCTCTGATCTTAACTCGACACTGGTATGAACTAGAGAACCAGTTCAGAACACGGACGACGTGTGGACATACGAGAAATATCAGCGCGATAGTCACGGAACACCCACGGCTCTCGAAACTGCAAATTCACTTCCGTTGTCAGCACCAACTCTTACCACGCGTTGGCCTTCCTCAAGCAAAGAGGCGATGAGACGCCCTCGCCACTGACCTAACATCCGGCTTGTGCGTTGTCCAGCTACATGTCTAGCCCATCATAACCACCCTCGCCGTACAGCCTGGTAGAAAATGACCAACTCAGTACGAAGTTACCTGGAATCTTAATTCCAAAGTTCCGGATAAGAAATCGAATATCACGCTACGTCTTACGTTGGCATAATGAAATTCCTTCACTAGCCGAATAATGTAATCCAACACCAACATTTATAATGGATTTTTCTCGGGTTACCAGCTATGTCAGGCGGTTTAATAAAAATACACGAACCCTGAGGACAAGGACGAAGATGGTTGTCGAAACGTCGGTAAACCACCTTACACGGCTGGTAGCCCGAGAATAATTCATTACACTTAGTGGCCGTCAAAACTTCAGATCATACACTTACATTCACAAGTCAGTCGACTTAAAATCTTGTCTAATATCTATGTTACGATATCAGATAACACAGAAATTGATTTAACATCCTAAACGAAACGTTGATGAAATTAAGGGGGGGGGGGGGGGGGGGACTCGAACCCATGTTTCGTACACAGAAACGAAATTATGGAGAGAGAAAAAACTGATATAACAAGACTGACGTGGAAGTTTCTGATCTTGCAAACAATAAGAACGCAATAAAACATTCCAGAACTCTGTATGTCACAGTAACCCGGAAAATAAAAATTCCTGCGGGGAATTCGAAAACATATTGGCGTCGTTAAGGCCACTGCAGAAACGGAAGAGATTAACACAACTCGAAAATATAAAATCGAGAGAACATTACATAAGAAGAGAGAAAGCGTCCTCAGACAAACTGGATAATCGATTCTCACTTCAAATAAAGTTCAAACAGCAAGAAAAAGCACGACCTCTCTCACAGATGCTCCGTAGGAAGCGAACCGGAAGACGTAACTAAACGTACGTTCTTCTGGGGGTGTTTCGAGTTTCGAGCGCGTGAAACGGAAATCAGATACAGAGGACTGTCTTCTTTACTGGACTGCATTTGCTGATGTCGATTCCGAAACACGTGGCAAATTACGTGGACAGGCGAAACTCTGCCCCCGTGATGTCATTACTCAAACTGCGTGTTTCACAGACGAGAATTTCAGACCAGAAGTCTTGTCCTTATTAATCGGGAACTTCAATTTCAAACGTTTTTCAGTGTAAAGTGCCCTAATTAATTATTCTTCCAATAGGCCTTTGTCAAGACGGGAAAAACTACAAAAGCTTCTTTTTAGGAAATAAATCGTTTGGAAGTGTTTTTTTAGAGAGAGGGAGTGAGAGAGCAACTGGCCTTATAACTTCATAAAAGGCACGAACTTCGCCACGAACTGACACCGTCAGTTTGTCAACACAGCTGGTTACCATTAAGCGGGGAAAAAAAAACCCTATTACCTTTATATGTATGAATTTTTCACACGGAGTAATTTTTCCGACATTTTAAATTCACGCCCAAGACATGAGCCAAAACTACACTTGCAGCATTTTTCCTTCGAAAACAAATTTTCTGCTAAACAAACAAAGCTCACACTGCACGAATTCTTTTGTTTAAACATTGTTCGATTGGGGGGGGGACGGGGATTTGCACAGCAGATAACCCCCCTCCGATCGTACGCCCCCCCCCAACCCCTCTGTAGCAAAACGCAGGCGCCTTTACCGTACCGGCGCTCAGGGCGTCCACACACACACACACATACTTAGTGTGGGACAGGGACGTCAGCGTCGAGACGCCTCAACCACCTGTCTGTCCTGCAAGTGGCCGGCCACACCACAGCACGACAACTCGCCTGACTGCACTCCTGAGGAACCTGTGTCGACACAACAGTTCGTGGGGCGGGGGGGGGGGGGGGGGGGGGACTCGAACCCATCTTTCGTACACAGAAACGAAATTATGGAGAGAGAAAAAACTGATATAACAAGACTGACGTGGAAGTTTCTGATCTTGCAAACAATAAGAACGCAATAAAACATTCCAGAACTCTGTATGTCACAGTAACCCGGAAAATAAAAATTCCTGCGGGGAATTCGAAAACATATTGGCGTCGTTAAGGCCACTGCAGAAACGGAAGAGATTAACACAACTCGAAAATATAAAATCGAGAGAACATTACATAAGAAGAGAGAAAGCGTCCTCAGACAAACTGGATAATCGATTCTCACTTCAAATAAAGTTCAAACAGCAAGAAAAAGCACGACCTCTCTCACAGATGCTCCGTAGGAAGCGAACCGGAAGACGTAACTAAACGTACGTTCTTCTGGGGGTGTTTCGAGTTTCGAGCGCGTGAAACGGAAATCAGATACAGAGGACTGTCTTCTTTACTGGACTGCATTTGCTGATGTCGATTCCGAAACACGTGGCAAATTACGTGGACAGGCGAAACTCTGCCCCCGTGATGTCATTACTCAAACTGCGTGTTTCACAGACGAGAATTTCAGACCAGAAGTCTTGTCCTTATTAATCGGGAACTTCAATTTCAAACGTTTTTCAGTGTAAAGTGCCCTAATTAATTATTCTTCCAATAGGCCTTTGTCAAGACGGGAAAAACTACAAAAGCTTCTTTTTAGGAAATAAATCGTTTGGAAGTGTTTTTTTAGAGAGAGGGAGTGAGAGAGCAACTGGCCTTATAACTTCATAAAAGGCACGAACTTCGCCACGAACTGACACCGTCAGTTTGTCAACACAGCTGGTTACCATTAAGCGGGGAAAAAAAAACCCTATTACCTTTATATGTATGAATTTTTCACACGGAGTAATTTTTCCGACATTTTAAATTCACGCCCAAGACATGAGCCAAAACTACACTTGCAGCATTTTTCCTTCGAAAACAAATTTTCTGCTAAACAAACAAAGCTCACACTGCACGAATTCTTTTGTTTAAACATTGTTCGATTGGGGGGGGGACGGGGATTTGCACAGCAGATAACCCCCCTCCGATCGTACGCCCCCCCCCAACCCCTCTGTAGCAAAACGCAGGCGCCTTTACCGTACCGGCGCTCAGGGCGTCCACACACACACACACATACTTAGTGTGGGACAGGGACGTCAGCGTCGAGACGCCTCAACCACCTGTCTGTCCTGCAAGTGGCCGGCCACACCACAGCACGACAACTCGCCTGACTGCACTCCTGAGGAACCTGTGTCGACACAACAGTTCGTGACACTGACAAGAGTCGTTCAGCGAATGCCAAGACTTTATAAAACACGCACAAAATTATTAACTACAGCCTACATTCCTGTGTGACATTTACATTGATGAAATAGCAGATAACACTGTCAAATTCCTTTTTTAAGTTGCAAAAATTCCACTGACGGAACTGCTGAGACGCGCGTTTTTCCCGTGACACTCCACTTCAAGCGTCAGAGACAGACGCCCTGCGACTGTTTACAGTAAATAATGAAGTGGAGAGGCGGTGATCTGCTCGAAGTGCACGATGATTGAAGTATTCTTGTACAGCTCCGCGAGCAGCGATTATTACACAAACGCAGAATTCAACACAACGGGCGCGAGTGTTAACGCCGTGTTACAGTGCAGTGTTAATATCAGTGTTAACGTCGGTGCCGGAGACGATGCAGATTTCAACAACTGGTGGGCACTCTTAGCGCTCGTGTTAGTGCTGGGCACGGCGGCGGGGAACATCTTAGTGTGTCTGGCCATCACGTGGGAGAGGAGGCTGCAGAATGTTACCAACTATTTTCTAATGTCCCTAGCCATAACAGACCTCATGGTCGCTGTGCTCGTGATGCCGCTAGGAATTTTAACGCTCGTCAGAGGTAAGTTGGCTCGTGTCGGCACGCTTCAAGGAATTTCTAAGTCAGAGAACTAGAATTTATCCCTTCAAAAATTCTGCAGGAAGTTCACAGTTTCAAACAAGCGAATATGTAAGACATGACGACATGTGATAACTCGGGTTTACCTTAAAAGAGTAACTCCTGTGGGCGAGAACCCTTCGCCTGCCTCAGAGGAAAAAACACCAAACATTCTGCTCAATTTTTACAACTTCGAAATGAATCTTTACTGCGGTTACAAAAATACTTACTGTAAAGCAGTTGTAAACACACATCGAAAATAAATGCTGAAGACGTGTTTAAGTTAATAGAGAAGTAAACATGACGACACTGTGAAAGCGGCTTACAAATTCCTGACGGCGTGCCTTGTACCATTCCCTTCCCTGTGGGCGTCGTAAATAATTAGAGTTTGAGCTACAATTCTGAAATGGCGCTTTCCAATTCTGCCAAGCTCGAATAAGTTTTAAAATAATACGGCGTGGAGTGGATTCAAGTGGCGGGCTCTTGTGTGAGCCTACTAATGAACGAAACTTCGGAGAATTAACCATCCGGCGATGACGTTCCAAACAACTCTGCTCAACAGAATGAATCGCGCACCAAATATACTGTACAACGTCCCACATCATTAAAATTCGTGCACCCCTTTTCGTCTGTTGACGGTGTAACTGAGATGGCAGGCTCGCATTTTCAAAGTCTCGCTGACTTTCCTAGTTTGACAAAAATGTCTGCGATGGAAGTGGGTGAATATGAGGATTTGCCTACCGCACTGCAGACAGAAATCAATTTGCAGCTGTCAGTTTAGGGCTGACAGTTCCTATAGATTTCTGTTTAAAGACACGTCGTATCGATTACTTTAATCGCAAAGTAGCGGACACACTGACGAGACAAGCCCCGCGGTTACGACATAGTTCATTATTCAGCAGAGAAGAGAACTCAAGTCTTTACCTGACGGGGTCCGCGGTCCCGTCCAAGGAGTGACGAGCCTCTTCCGGGCTGACGGGGTCTTCATTTGCAAACCGGCCCGAGAATTCTTTTATGTGGGTTAATTCATGATACACGAACATAAAGAGGATTTAAACTTTTTATTAACAAAGTGTCCGACTGCCTTTAATTTGTTTAGCCTAACCTAAAACAGACTCGCGTATCAGATGTGTCGCGCAGACCACACGTCGACCCATAAAACTTTGCCGGGCTGTCAGCCGCGCAAGAACAGACAGTGGATGAGTTGGGGAAAGGCCGTCTGTCACAGACAATAACACTCACGTCACTTGGACTGGCATTTATAATCTAACGTCGCCGGGTAAATGTGCGGATTTGCCTCTGCTCGAGTTGTTGCAAAAGCAGCGAATTATTTACTAGAACAGAGCCAAACTGTGTGTGTTCTCTAGCACTGTTTGTATGCATCCCTTATTGACGGGAAGGGTGTACGCTCTCTTAAAACTAAAAAAGACCCTTGAGATAGAAATAAAAAAAAAGTTTACCGCCAAACGCTAAATCAGAAATCATCAAGCGAATTCATAGCGCATCTAAATCTCGTTATCCATTTTGACATAATATTTTTCAAAGTGAGGGCGTGTCTTAGCAGCGCTGTAAGGCATCGAAACTGTCGCGGGACATAAACGCACTGTTCTAGACTAGAAATTACTGAGAAAACGCATAATACAGGTTAACTCAGAATCAAATGTAATAACAATATGGCGAGTCATTTTCCCCTCTCAAAAGTTCTAACTTCCAGCCTTCATTTATATTTATGACACAATTAAAATGTTCTCTGATGTCTCAGAGATCCAATCATGAAAGACTAAGTCAACTCAACCTTACCTTCCAAATTGTCTTGCAATAGTTTTAAAAGTGAACGCTCTGGTACATTACCTGAAACAAGAGAGAAAAAAAATTAAGGTCCTTGAAATACAAGAAATTCAATCGACAGTCGAAGCCTTCAGGTACTCGGAAGAAAATGACGATGTCTGATGAACTAACCTTCCATGAAAATTGCGTGAATCTAGTGGATCAGTCTTGCTGAGAACCAAATGCATTTTTCATGTACTCTTTCGTCTATTCAGAGCCAATTACTGCGGTCCTGGGTACGGGTCGTTAATCATAATTACAGCCAGCTACACTAAGTATTGGCTCAATGATGCTACGCGTTTGTTTGTATAATGCGCCATGTATAAACCAGCTTTTTTTTTTAAATCACTTTAAACCTCTTCTCCAATTTATTACTGATTTTCATCGCCCGAACACACCGACACAAATTCAGCCGCGTCATTACGTACGACACAATCATACGTCACGGGCTTAACCACAAATGTTATGTGAAATCTTCACATTAAACAAGCGTACAACTTCAGCGCACAGCAGAAACTGGGTAATATTTTTGGCGTCGAATTAAGAGATGCGACGTTCTCACGGCGGTCTGTTTGTGTGCTGACGCCGTGCTGATGGGTACCGACGTTTCGGAGAGCTGCTGACAGAGGAAGTATGTTCCTCCGAAACGTCGGTAGTAACCAAGTTTATTTAGTATTAATATTTTATTTTGTATGCCATCTACCATCGTACCATCGTCATTGACCGCTGTTTTTGTGCGTGGCTGTAAATGGTCTTCTTTGGTTGTCGTGCACACTAATAAATAAATTAAACTGAATCATCATCAGGGAAGAAGTCTTTCTTGTACATTAAATTTCCACACAAATAACCTCGATTATTCGCAATTGCCGACTCGCAATATTTAATCTCGAACTCATTTACAGATATACTTAAGACCTATCTCCTGCCGAATGCCACGTGCACGTTACACCCTTTGCGGAAGTTTATATATTTTTCCAATCATCTGCTGACTTGCACAGCCTCGTGGCCCTGTATTAAGTGTCGCTCGATCTCGGACGCACAGGCTTTCGCCACTTTATTGGCGAGTGCAGAAATTAAAAGAGACGCGAGGTTGGAGGGCGACATCCACTGGCAACGCAGACACCAAGTCTCCTGAGAGCACGTCACATGACTCAACACAGACAACCTACTGATCTCATAAGCGTAATATTTTCCTCAAGGACGAAAACCCGGCTAAGAACGGACATGATTAAATTATTATCTTAAACTTATTTCAATAAAGTTAGTAAGAACAACTTATGGAGGTAACTACCACTTTTTTTCCGTTCTTACAGACACAAACAGCTGGAAACTGCCAAAGCCAATGTTTGTTCAAGGACACGTGAAATTTACCTTCTCTTTACGAGGCGTGGGACATAACAAAGTCGCGTGCGCAACGCACGAGGTCAGGGTCCGGGCGTCCGATGCCACACGCTTTCCAAAATATCCCGTCAGATGACATAAGGACTAACAGACTCGTCCGAAGTTGAGAGATAACAGCCCTTGAAATGGCCGGCCCACGGCATACACAAAGGGCATTCAAGTGCCCACACATGGAACCTGAAAGTAGGCATTCCTTCCTCAATGCCAAATCCTTGAACCCGAATGCCCCGCGATTCCTCGGCCTCCTGCCGTAGAAGAGGTTACTACGGCTGCAAAATCCTCTTCTGCTGTCAGAAGGCAAGCCACTTCAACCCATCTACCGAGAGTCAAGCTGAGACGGAACTGAAATCTGCATAGCCTAATGCCCAGATGTCCCAAATTGAAACATGGGGCAGCCCTCGTGTAGGAGTGGCCAACGTAACCTAACCATTACCAGGCCCCTAAGTGTTCTGCAGCGTTCACTGTGAAGCCTCTACAATATGTCAATACAGAGCATTGATTTTATTAATAACCACACACACACACACACACACACACGCGTGCGTCATGAATACGTTATCAGTTATCGCTCAACGCAGGTGGTTCTGTCTCGTCAATGAATAGGCAGGCCACATATTCCAAATCACAGCCCACTTCAGGCAAATAACGTTTTTCAGTATTTATTTTGTTCTATTAAAATTGGTGACATCTGAAATGCAGACGATAAATATGACCCATCGAAGCTATTTCACTGATTACCTACCAATCCGCATTTCCACTACACACATTATAATAAAACCATGGATCTCAGATTAAGCACTAAACTGGAAAGATAATATTAAAGTGGGTCTGAAAGAGACTCAGTGCGAGGATGCGGGGGGGGGGGCAAACAGGGGACCGGACGGGCGCAGTTCAAACAATAGCAAACAGACGTTTCTCAGGACGTTCTTTTTTTTCCGAAGATAAAAAGCTATTAGCAATTGCACTGATATTATGCTCCGGAAACAATCCCCACCGACTTGATTTTCTCGGGGAATTCTGTCGCTGCCCCCTCTCAGAAACAGTTCGACACAACACCGTTCAGACTTGGCTGGCGTGCGATGTCTTTGTACCGATCCTAAACACCAAACTGACTCCAGATATTCTTAGTAAAGTGAAAAGTAAAGCTGTCCCGCTACACGCCAAGTAGGCGCTTGGGGGGAGAGGAGGTATAGCTCCTACTCATTCTTGACCTCGGCACTAGATGGGGTTAGTGGTTAGCGTCACGCCCTCGGCAGCGCTGCCGTAGCCAGTCACTATAATGACTGAGTCATTAATAAATTCAACACGTGCTAATTATACGAACAGATCGGGCTTTGTTCGGACTCAAATACAAGGAAGTCGGGCTAAATTTGGGGCTCGGGCCAACTGATCCCTGGGCCAAGCCTGGGAAATTTTAAAATTTCGGCCCGCGTAGACCTGCAAAGCGATGGACTCTTCGGGACGAGGTACCGAACGTCGGGTGGGGAATCCCTTGGCACGGCGAGCGACTACCACGCCCACCTACTTGATGAATGAGTGAACGGACAAGCATGCAAATTACTTCACGGCCGTATCAGAATTACAAATAATCCAATATTTTCCGGCTCAAACAAGATTTGAAGCTCTTTCGGCGACTGAATTCAAAGAAGTGTACTTGGACGATCAGCCGTGTGAGAATGGAGATACAATCCAACGTTTCCGACACTGCCTGTCTCCATCATCAGGGTTGCGACTCC